GAGAGAGAGAGAGAGAGAGAGAGAGAGAGAGAGAGATGGAAACTCGAGGGTGTCGAGGCAGCTTCGTTAAAATCGTGATTTTATGTTTCGATCATAACCTTTACCTTCTTCGTTAAATCGTATTAGTAGCCTACGGTAACCGTTGTTTGCTCGTATGAATTGCAATTTTCGTAATTATTACCCGATGTTGGTAAAACGCGAAGGGGATATATCGGATATATCGGCTGATTAAATTCGTCGGGTATCGATCGCCAAAGTTTCGCGTTCCAATCGTGTTATCGTGTGCCGTCACGTTTTTCGGACAGAAGACAAGACGAGTTCTCGAGAAGCGCCAAAGTAATTAACGTTTCATCGACGCGTGCCGGGATGAGAAGGAGGGGGAAGGAAAAAATGGGGGGTGGAGGCGCAGCATCCGCTTCCACGGATGCGGTTGTTTTGCATCAACAACAGAGGAGGAAGGAAGGAAGGAAGGAAGGAGGAAGCGTCCCGCAAATATGATTTTCAGTCGCGTCGTAAACCAAAATTAAAAATTTTAAGCTCGTCGTAATCCTCCCCCCTTTTTCGCTCGCATTTCCCTTCGCGTATCCCCCTCTTTCCTTTCTTTCTTTCTTTCTCTCTCTTTTTTTTCTCCTACAACGAAAGAACCGCGTCGCGTTCAACTCTCAATTTTCATTTAATCTCCCGCGTATTTCCGCGCGAAAGCCTCGCAGCCGACCGCGACGTTTCTTCGAACGCGTATTTTTCCCCGCCGTGGTGGCGAGAAACCGTGTCGTATATCGAAAATAATATACACGAAGTTGCATTACAGTTATACAAATAGAGAGTTTCAATTCTCCGTGCTTACGAATTAATACGCGATGAATTTGCATCGAGCTGCAACGACTTGGCTGCGTTGAACACTTACGGGACGAAATGGCGTAGGTGCTCGTAACTGCGTCCTATATATATATCTCGTATAAAATTCTTGCTCTGTCGGTCCGATCGATAAATCCAACGCGTAGCCGTACAACCATAGTTTCGAGGAGCGTGGAGGAAGAGGAGCCGCGTTGATTTATGTCACGGTAAATTACAGAATTATTCCATATCTTAATGGCCCTTTGCCACTCTCTAGCTAGCTACGGAGCAACCCTTCCGAGCTTCTTGGTTAGCACGCGAAATCAATCGAAAAGTGATTCTCCCCGAGCTTTCCTTTCACCGCTGCTCGCTGCTCCGTCACAGCTCTTAATTGCTTTCCAACGATCAACGATGCTTGTCCTGTTGTGCGCCGCATTATCGCCCTTCGCGAAACTTTCCCCTCTCACTCCAAGTCGAACGATATCCTCGAGCGATCGGCCATTTTATCCGAGGAGTGGAAACTCGACGCGACTCCAACTTTTTCGGACGATGGCGCGACAACAAGGAGCGAGCGGAACGGCAGAGAGTTCGGGGTGGAGGCAAGTTTGCATTTTTACGAGACGCCCTCCCACCCCCATTCGAGCGTGTATAACGGCGGTGCTTTCCACGCGGCGTCGTGTTCGCGTTTTGTTCACCGCGTCGTTCGTTCACCCGTGCAATTCCTGCACGACAATTTATACGAAAAGTATTTTCCACCTTTTCCACGCCACAGACGTTGCTTCCCCTCGCGCGAGGAATCGTCTCGCAAATGTCGGCCATCTAACTATCGGCCAGGATTCGCGGCGCGTACTTCCGGTTGGGCAAAAATTCCCTCTACGCGTCTCAAAGCGGCGACGAAACGGGGGAAAGAATTCCCGTCGTAAATAAATTCCATCCCCGATTTCCACGGGCGGAAAAATTTCCTGCCCTTCGAGGATCCCGACCGATCCCGGGATTTAACGGATGTTTAACGGATTCCAAACCGTAACCTCGTGAAAATCGTGTTAGAATTCGGATTACTTCCATACGCGTGGAGGAATTTCCACGAGTACGTTGCGGCCCCCTTCCTTTATCCTGGAATCATCATCGGTGATAATTCTAGGAGGAACCTAACGAGGAGAGCGGCCCTCGATCGATCGTAACGAAATTTCATCCGTGAATTTCAGAACGGAAACGAAGAGAGGAAAGAAGAAAGGAAAGATAACCAGGGAAAACGAGGCGAAGAGGAAAGCAGGAAGGGAAGGTCGAGAAGGATTAATAATTTTCGTTAATCCATCGATATTTCTGTTGCTCGTTAATTTTCACGCGGGCAAAATCGAGGCGACTTCGAAGCAATTCGATTTGAATTTATCGCGAGTCGAAATTTTCAAGAAACGGCGAGACCCTTTTCATTATTCATTTAGGGAGGGACGGAGGGAGGAGGGTAGGGCCAGTTTTATCGCGTGCACGCTACATTACCCGTCATCCATACCTCCCCTCCCCTCCTCCCTCGATCGCACGGGAACTTTTCTCCTCCGCCCAGAGGTTTGGATCCGTCTAATTGATTAAACCCTTCTCACCGATTCCCGGGGAATCCGAAATATTTGATATCGGGTAAAATTGAAATTCCTCCGCCCGCCCTCTCCTCCTTTTTGCATCCTCCCCTTAATCCTCGATCGAGGATCCACTCGGCCGAAATCATTTCGTCCCGCCGAAATTGCGACGAAGAATCCGATTCCGGTCACCTCGAGCCGAGAGAATTGCGAAAATCGGTCACTTTCGGCAACGGAACGAAAGATAGAATCGCGTTTGTAATCGAGTTTGCGCGAAATTATGGAGGGGGAGGAAAGAGTTGAGAATCGAAGGGTTGAGAATCGGATGGACGGAGAGTCGCGCGACTTGGAAATCTTGGGACGACGAGAGAGGGAGGCATCGCGAAAGAGAGACTGGACTGCTGGGCCGTGTGATAACGTCGTCGAGGATTTGGGATTCACGGTCGTTCGGCCGGCGAGATACCCGAATCGTAACTTTAAATTGGCCGGGCCGAGATATCGGTGGCTCGCGCTCGAGCAGCGTCCACTTTTTCCCTCCTTCTCCCGGCTCGAGTTATTATACCGAGAAAAAGTCGACCCGGGCCACCGTAACTCGACTCCTATACCCTGTTCGGGGGTTAATCGTATCGAACCATTTCGACTCCCGATTCGAACAATTTAGGAACGGGGTGGAAAACGTAAACGCGCCGGGATCGAGATTCACATTCGTTATCTCGAGTGTACCAGCTCGGCGAGAGGAGAGTGGAATCTATTGTGGGACGGATAAAAATGGGGACAGGTAAAAATTGAATTCGCGACAAATGATCGGTGGGCGTTACTCGTTTCAACGATTTATCGATAGATAGATACGCGGGGAAAAAAGGGAGAAGAGAAAATAAAGAGGAAATCGGGGCGCGCTTTCTTCGTCACGCGACTTCGAGCTCGAGTTACACGTGTTAACGCGCGATACGACGCGATCACGTGACCGCCGCCATTAAACCCGTACCGATCTCGGCCCTGAAATTTACGTATCTCCTTCCATTTCGACAAAGGGATGGCAACGCGTCACGTGGGCTGCGGTTGGAGACGTTAAACGCCGGCTGCTCCTCCATAACTCATTGCCGCGATTTAATTTATCACCGTTATTCGTTCGCGCTTAGCCAGGCCAATTAGCCGTCCCGCTTTAACTCATCCCGCGATTTATTATTCGTCTTACGTTCAACACGTCGGTCGTGTTGGAAAAGTTGGAGAATTATTTAACACCGAGTATCTATCCGGCCGGGGAGGAGACTCCCTCTCCTCTAATGAACGTCAAAAATTTCGAGCTTCGATGTTCGAGGCAACCGGTGGTAATTTAACCCGCGGCCTCGTTCGCGACAACTGAAT